GCCGTGGCCGACGGCCGCGACGCCGACACGCCGCCCCGCGGGCTGACGTTCGTCGTTTCCAGGCGGCCCAAACACGGCGTCGTTTTGAACCGGCTGCCCGCCGGATCCGTCTCGGTGACTAACTTCACTCTGGAGGAGATCCGGGAAGCCTCGAGGATCGTTTACCAACACGACGGCTCTGAAACGACGGCGGACAGCTTTGAGCTCATCCTGACCGATGGCGAGTTCTCGGCGCGGAAGACGGCGACGGTGAATATCATCGCGGTCGATGACGAGAGCCCCGGGATGCAAATCGACAACGGCCCGCGGGTGGAAGACGGTGAGATCAAAGACCTTGATGGGCGGGTCCTCAAAGCGACCGATGCGGACCGTTTTTGCCTTACTTCTCCGTTCAAGTGTATTTGGGGAGCGTGTTTTTACACGCTGGAGCGCTCTAAATTGTCCCTCGCTGCGATTGTGATTCGGATGTTTGTACAAACGCCATGTCGGGTTCGTCGGAGACTCGAAATGGACTTAAAACATGTATACAGTCTTCGCTTTTTGCTAAGTAGGGAAATTTGCCAATGGGCTTTTGTCATTTTATCCGTTGATTGCGTCAAAAAGAAGATGTTGGCCGCTTTGGAGCCGTTTCCATCTTGGCGGTGAGCAAACGACAAGCGTGTGCCTGCAGGGCCGCCCTCATCTCCTCCTTGTCTCGCTCTCATTAGCCCGAATGCCGCGGAACTCCCCGCTAGCAAATGGATCTTTGGTGCCTGCGGGCCCCCCGGCAGAGACGCCGTGTTCCACTTCTTAAAAGCACGTTAGTTAGTTTGACTTACTCGATGACCGATTTTCTTGACCTTTAGTATTGATGGCTGGTATCGGATCCTCAGCTTTGACGAGGACCCGATACCCGTTTATCGATACTCGGCCATCCCTAGACAAAATAATCGACTGCTTGTGTCGCTGCGTCTTGCCATCCCGTCGTCGTCACGGACACCAAATGTCTGCGGCAATAATTTGGATTTGCTTTCAGGGCCGTCTGTCTTTGAGATTCCATCACAAAGGCGTGACAAAGTGATCGCTGGCTCATTTGCAGGCCTCCTTCGCCCCACCATGCCACATGTGGGACGGTGGGGGGAAGAAAGCACTGCGGGAGTTGTACGCTCTCTTTACATTTTCGCCAACCTCTTGATAAAAAAAAAAAAAAAAAAAACGTAAATCTGCTCCGGTGCTTTTATGACATCCGGTGAGAATTTGGAGGCATGTGAAAAAGGAGATCAGAGCAGAAAGCAACCTCAACGCCTTTGGGGGTTAGCGTTCGCACGCGCGCTCGCACACCTGAGGCAACTTTGCCGTTCCCGTGCGTAACGCACGGGAACGGTTGGAGGTGCTACAAAAACCTGAGCATCGTTAAACGCCTCGCGACAACTTTGCTGGTGACTGCAGGAAGTGAGGATTTAATCAGTAGGTGGCCCGGGGGGGGCGGCACGCTTATTTTAATTTGCCCTTGGGTGCGTTCGCATGCCCCGAGCAAGGCACTAACCCCCCCCCCCCCCGGAAAAACAGCTACGCAGCGCAAAACGTGTCACTGAGGTTTTATTTCCCTCGCTGATGACGTTAAATGCACAGAAATTCTCACGTGATTTTTTTTTTTTTTTTAAGAACAAAAAAAATAGTTTTGTGTTGGAAGACAGTTTAGTATGACAGCTAATGTACGCATTTAAAAAATTTTTTGAAACAATGACACATCTTCAGGATTCAACCAATACATTCATGCATGAGTTTTTTTTTTTTTTTTTTTTCAATAGCATC